CCCCGGTTTATTTCAGTAATGACATGTGACTGTGGAGGTTATGTTAGTTTGTTTCAGATGATATGTCTCAGTACACCAACACAGAGATTATGGTCATGTTCTGTGTATGCCTCTAATGATAGAGATCTATACAATGTTGGCAGGTAGTTAAAAACCTCCACATGTGCACGACCTCAGTTTAGGACACAACACTTGTTTGCATTAGGGATCATAAGGGCACAAACACTTTGATTTGAATCGACTGGTATATTCCAACAGCAACCTCCTCCCACCTGATACAGCTGCCCTTTATTATCTGACTGACATTACAAGGCTGCGTGGCTTTAGTTGTAGATAATGATCATATTGAATGGGGAAAACAACTATAAAAGTAGACTGATACTCTCACAGCAATCTCTGAGAGCTGGCTTATCTTTTTTTCTTTCTGATTGTGGATGAGCAGACGAACACATCCTTTTTTTCCCCCTCCTGAATGTAATCATTCCAAGAAACAGCGACAGAGTACATCTGTTATGGTTTATCTTGGGCTTGTGGCCTTTGTCGCTTTCTTCTATTGCTTAAAATTTTTTCTGGATTGTCAATTGAATGAAATGCCCATCACCCTCGCTGATGTCTCCCTTAGGTATTCTCCGAAAGAATAATTCTCGTCTGCTGGAGGAGATTGTGAGGAAACAGCAGGATTTTCTGGGTGGAGATGGATCCAAATACAATTTAGAGTTCCTGAGCAATGGTACTGACAAACACCAACATCATGGTAAGTCCTTCCAGCTCTTTTGTTATTTCAGTCAGTGTGATGTTATAAACAGCCTACAGTCATCTTCAGTAACCTGATTTCTTAAATGTAATGTAAAGGACAAACCTGGTTTCTGAAGTCAGGGTAGGGGATTAAGGAAACCTGATTATCCCAGCTTGGTTTCTTCTGGTAAATGTAGATTCTTCCTTCAACACTTAACCCAGTTTCTAATCAGCTTTTTTCCAAATCCGCTTCTGTGTGGGAAAAGACTACAGACAGGGAAAGTAACAGTCTGCAGCTGAATGAAAGAAAAGACCATACATCATACAAAACATTGTACTCCTATATTAAAAATGACTCAAGAAGATTCAAAACAAAACATCAGTTTCACTGCTTTACATTACACTGTTATAAATAGAGTAACACTACCCTGTTAGTACAGTGAAGCTGTGAACAGGGAGCACAACTGATACTGTCGGTGCTTATTGATGCAACACACCTCATCCTTCCTGTTATTTCACAATTGTTTCACAAAGCTGGAGTGTCATACTGAGGTTTTCTGACCATATTCTGAGCGACAGGGGTGTCTACTATTTCACTAGCTTTCAAGTAACACAGACTTCTAAAAACTAAGCTTGCTTGCCTGGTACACACCGCCATGAAGGTGATGGGTAGGAATGACTACCAGTCCCTTCAATCAATATATGAGAGGTCTGTACTTCGGCAGGCTCAGAGGATAGTGACTGACCCATCACATATCTTCCATAAAGAATATCAGCTCTTGCCCTACAGAGTCCCCCACTGTAAACTCAATTGTTTTAAAAATTGTTGCTGGGATTGTGCAATAGTTTTATGGGGTTTTATTATGGGATTGTGCAATATGTGCTACGTGCAATACTCGGGTGTGTGCAATATTTTATTTATAAAAACATTTTAATGAGCATTTTAATGTTGTGATTGACAAAGTTGGTGCTGCTATGGAACTTGTTTTGTAAATATGGAAGAATATGTCCACAGCATTTGAGCCCAAAACAAATTTCACTAAGGGGACAATAAAGTATATCGTATTGTATATCCTTCTCCTTGACAACAGCCCCTCAAAATATTTTGGATTAAATGTTTTCAGATCTGCTCAAATCATCTCTAACCAAAATATTGAGTGGAAAGGAAATACTTTAATGAAAAGTATATGATGGAAAACATAAAGGTTGTATTCATACACTACAGGCTCACTGCTCAGAATTTCCCCTTTCTATTGTCTTTCTGTGGGATGAAAACCAAGACAGGAGTCCAAGACACTGCACTCCTCTGCTGTTAGACTCATTTTCCAGAACACAAAAGACAGAAACTGACACTGCCAGCTAGCCCACAGAAACCCACATACACACATTTCTGTCTCATGTAAAAGCCCCAAAAAGTTGTCTGTCAGTATTACGTATCAGTTATTCATCAAGGTAGTTGTATTAGAGTTTGAGAGATCTTTGAACACACAAAATCTTCAAATCACATCATTTTCCATCTGATATTAGTGAGTCTCATTAACCGTGAATAAACTGGACTCCGGACGTATCGGCTAAATAAATGGATCATGCAGCTGGTATTTTATTTCACCATCCGTTATGTTGGACCTGTGCCCAGGCTGCACTGGATGTGTGAGCGGAAAGTCTTGCTTTTCATTTCGGCGCCCATCATCTTAGAGCAGCCACACTGCCCGTGCAGGCCCGTCTCACGTGTGTGAGCAGCATTACTCTTCTAGAGAGTCTAGAATTTAGAAAGCCATTGAGAAGTGGAAAATAATTGCAAAGCATGCCACAATGGCAAGACAACTGCACTGCTCTTCAGCAGAGACTGAACGCAGACACATCTAAAGTTTCTGGAAACCTGTAGAACAGAAACACGAAACCTCCACTGGACATTGATTTTAAACTGAGACAGGAAGAAGTGAAGAGGAACATCTGTTTTTATCTTGAATCACTTTGTTATAGTCTTCCAAATAATTGTGATTGATCAAATGCTTCTCAACCACTTCTCTGTCACACCAGAACGTAGATGACATTTATAATGACATCATAAAAAAATATCTATTATTTATGGCTATTTGCAAAGGGCAAACCCCACATAGCGCTGGTAGCAGCAGCTCCACAGCAGACACATTTCCGGTGTGTGAACAACAGACACATGCGAGCTGTCATGACAGCTGAGACACAGCTGTCATGTGTGTTTGGGGAGAAGAGAGCAGCAAATCAAAATGAGCTGGAAGCGAGGCCAGGGACTGTCTGGTTTTTTGTGACACACACAACTGACTCTCCGTTTTACAATGGATTCTCAAAGTCCTGAATTTTCTCCATTATTGTAGCGAGTACTTGAAGAAAAGTGCAGCTTCCTCTCGTACCACACTACACTTAGATTATGAGTTTCTGTCTAAGTCAGGTTCTCACTTGTCCATCCAATGCCTGTTGGTATTTAAATGCCTCAACCTTATACACTGATTGGTCTTTTGTCAGCTTCTTGTCGTCTCATGAACCCATCACATGGAACTTAGTTTCCATGTTGGTTATGACTGTACTGAGGAAGCTGTGGAGCAGGTGGAGCCAGTTTGCTCTCTGCTACTCATGTAGATCTTTGCCGTGTCTGTGCCTATAGGCATATGTCGACTCTATGACGTAGAGTTTCTTTGTGTGGGATAGCCCCACCTAATCCAGAGGGCTGTGTAGAAATGCAGTTTAATGTTTGCCAGGATAGTGCACTCAGTTTTATTTACAGAATCAAGTTTAAAAGTCCTGATTGAATAATTTAAAGTAGAGATACAAACCAATAACACACACACATATTCACACACGCACACTCTGTCTCTCTTGCTCTTGAAAATTATATTTGTCATTAAGTAAATTTGGAGCCGACAGGGTACACCTATGTTAACAATGTGCAGGCCTGATGAAGACCTGATGACCAGGTTATTCATGTGACTGCCTATCTTGGGTCCCCTTTCACAAAGCCACCATCATCCTGGTGCCTTAGAAGCCTGCCATGTGCTGTTTGAATCTTTTGACTCAGCACTCACAGTTTGAGTGTGGTCATGCGGGAAGTTCAATGCAATTTTATTTGTATAGCGCCAAATCATAATATACATTATCTCAAAGCACTTTACATAGGAAGTCAAGACCTTAAAAAGAACCATAATAAAGACCTTAAGATGATCCTCCCCATAACACTCATCGCCCTCCACTTTGCTTACCGCTTCAACCACTTTTTTCAATCCACCATAATGACAAAGTGAAACATGTTTCAGAAACATTCATAAATGCAATAGACTGAGTGTGCTAAAAGTAAAGTGATGTAAATAATTCTACCGAGTGTCAGGATGCTATCCAGTTGTTAGATTTGCAGGCAGAACATTTAGGGCTGATAGGAAAATTGTCACCCACTGTCCTGCCATAAAAAGTCTTTAGTACTGAGACACTGCCAGTTTTATGTTTCCAATCACAAAACAGAGAAGTATTTCATCACCCTCCATAAGAGCTGTTCAAATTCTATAAATGATTAGGAAAGGACCTTAAATGTTTCCTTACTTATCTCCTTTAGCGTAGGAAACATCGCCCCACAATTCATTGCAGCAGCAACATTTAAGTGACACAACCTCGTAGTTGCACCTGGACACACCCACGTAAACATAAATAACAGAACAGACGTTTGATTCTCATGACATGTTCCAGACAGAGTAGAATGAATGGTAAAAGTATGAACAGGCATTTACCCTAAGCTGAATATAATCTCTTATTTCTGATAGGGAGCAAAAATACTTTTTGAATTTGAATTAAAAATATAAAATTAGTTTGGACGTAACCCCACTTTCAACATGCAGAACCAGGCCATTTTAACCATCTCTATTTGAAGTTGCATCATGTTCAAGTGTTCAGTCATGGCCAGTTAAAGATAATCATGTGTTTTGTGTGTGTGTCAGTTGTGTCCTGCAGGCCTACTGTGAAGGTGTTGTCTCCAGAGGACGGGAAGCAGAGCATCGTCCAGGTAGCGCAGCAGCTCTGCCGCTCTGTGGAGAACAAAGAGAGGAGCTCCAGAGACATCAGCGTCACCATGTTGGACACGATGCTCAGAGGTACCACTTACTTATTGCACTTATTAGAGGTGGGGGAACTTGTTACACTACAGGATCATCACTTTTCTATACTATTATTTCTTCATTTTGTTTCTTCATGGATCAATATAATTTAATGAAAGATGCTTCAAGCCCCTCCTATTGGTTTAAGTAGAAAGAAGTTACCGCTTTGATCCAACAGATGGCAATGTTACCACAGACATTTCACAAACACAGATGTGCTTTGTCTCAGGATCTGTAGAGAGCTTACTCTGGTTTCACTGCCGGCAGCCTTACTCTCACTTTCGAGTTCCACTTCTCATTCTAACATTTTAGATCTCCAACTTAGTATTGTGCACTGCACTTGCTGTCTCTGCATCACCATCACTCACTCACTTCTGCTCCTTTCACATACACAGAAATCAACCAAATAGTTAGTAAGTTATGTAATCTGTACTTTCCTGAACCTTGTGTAACACTGGTGACTACGACAACATCCATAATATACACTCTTTAGAAGTGAATGATAAAAAAATTGTCGAGCAAACGACAACCACAATAAATCTTTTTTCTGAATCACAATACTGAAGAATCACAGTATGTATCAAATCAGGAGAATATCTATTGTCCCAGCCCTTCTGCATGTGCCACAGACATTTCACAAAGCAAGAAATGAAGTTCCAATAATCCTTGGTGGAGAACCCACTGTAGCATCACAGCTGCTTTAATGTATCCAGAGGGAAGAGAGCAAACAGCTCACACAGGAGGTGCAGCATGAGCAGCAGCTTTTCTTTCTTTGTGTCAGAAAGGATGTGTTCAGGCAAAAAACTGGAAATGAGGTGAGCGAAGACATTTTGTGGCCTGTTAAAAGCTGAATAATTTTAAATAGAAATTAATGTTGTACAGCAAAGTACAGTTTTTGACTGACCATAAACATGTGTGTTCCCAAATATAGTGGTTTTACATAAAGTCTGTTTTCAGGAAACCTGCAACGTAAAAACACTCAAACTCAGCAGCTGCAGTGCTAACCTCTGTATCTAAGCCACAATACTATATACTGTACATATCCCTCAGAGTTGTGTTTTATAAGGAGTGTTGGTCACTATGTTACAGTTGCTGCCATGTTGTCCTCACATCATTTGGAGCCAGAGTCTGCCTATTATTGATTATGGTTTGGACTCACGGTTTTGAGCTCCCACCAATACACGCACACCACCAATCAGCAAGTCTCAGCTCTCAATCCATTTTAATATCATCAAATAACAAATTAAAAACCAATTTATCAGACACATGATACATACCTAGTCATAAGCCACCTAAAATGACAGAAACCATCTGTGGAACAAAAAATATGTTTTTTTTAGTTTCGTCAGCATCCCCTCTGCAAACATAGAGGGGGCAGGGTTTATGACCTGTACTGCAGCCAGCCACCAGGGGGTGAGTTGAGTGTGGCTTCACTTTGGGAGCTGTCATGTCGTCTTCATATACACTTGGTGGCATGGATATATGGCATCAGCAGATCTTGTTTCTGTACAGGCTACTGTGTATTCTTCAGGTCAGGTATCTCTTTGAGAAAGATGGAGACGGCGAGATACATAGCAGTAATGTAGCTAACATGTGAGCACATCTGGTCAATATCAAACCCGTCACCAAGGTAGTTTGTTGTTTAGAATACACAGTGAAATTATGGCTCATGTTTTGAGTCTATATGTCAGCTGTGATCCATGCATGAACGTGGCTCCAGAGGAGGATGTCAGAGGTTTGTCCTGTTGAGTGAATGATCCCATGACTGTGCTGACAAACTGCCTGTCTGTGCTTTTTTCAGAGTCAAAGAATATTCCAGAACCTGAGCTGGTGGTGAAGTTCGGTCCAGTGAACAGCACACTGGGCTTCCTCCCCTGGCACATCAGACTGACTGAATTCATGTGAGTTACTGTCTGTTTCAGTGTCACATACTAAATCAGTGACTGAGGCACTGAGGTTTGATAATGTAGCTTAATGTTGCTAAACAAGCAGAAGATTCAGCTTCAGATATGAACCTGCAGTTTAAATACTACAAAGAGAAATGAGGATAAAACCAACATTAAACAGTAGATGGCGCTGTTGGACATGCAGCGCATGTGTGTTTTTCTTTCTGAATGTGGTGGCTTGTGTTTGATGTGTGCGTTCTTCTCTGTGTCCTCAGCTCCCTGCCCTCTCACAGAAATGTGTCCTATGAGGACTTGTTGGGTGCCCTGCAGCGGTACGGCGATTGTCAGCAGCGGCTCGGCCAGTGACGCTCAGGTCAGGCAGTGTGGGGTACACACAGTCAGGGGAGAGTGTGGCGAATCATCCGCAGCTCGCTGTGTCCCTCACTGCTCCTCTCCCCAACTCTGTCCATCTCCTGGATCTCTAACAGACTTAGATGGCTCTAAAACAAGGAAGTCGGGAGAGTCAGCCAGCTCACTTCCTGCCACCAGCTCTTGTCTTATAATAAACTTACATTCACAGGACTTGTGGAACATGTTCTCCAAACTGACAGAGAATGGGACATAAGAGAGACATTGACATTAGAAGAATATCTGCACAGACTCTGTGTTCCACAAACCCTGTTCTGTCCTCTGGCTCACTGTTTCACTGTTCAGTGTCCAGCTGCTGTTTACTGCTGAAGATCCAGAAAATGACTTGCCTTCACTCAGCAGACAACAAAGAAGAAACTAGGCTTTGTGTCCGTCCTTGTGAGGCATCCTGGGGAATACAGCTGCATTTTTAGGGAGAGGCTCAACTGCTAACACCATGTGAGCTGAGCAGAGGCTGATTTTAGGGACAGAGTTAATACTGTGTAAATATGAGAAATTATGTGGCTCTGTGTTTGTCCCTGTGGCCTCCAGCTTACGGTTGTGTGATCATGTGCAGTGTTGCTTCAGACACATCCAGAGGTTTGTTTGACTGACCAGCTCTGAAATAAAGAAAAACACTGTCTGTGTGTGTGCGTGTGTGTGTGTGTGTCTGCCGACAGTTCCACATTTTAAAGCACTGTTCCGTTACATTATAATATCAGCTGTTGCTAATAGTTACTAATCCTCACTTATCTGCCTTTACTGAATTATCACTCATCACATTTGACAACTTGATTATCTCCATCTGCAATACAGACCATGAGAAGACGTCAAATGAAATCAATTTTCATTTGGCCTTAAATCAAGATTATTTTGTCAAATCCAAATTGCCTTGAGCAAGCTTTCATACTCTGTATGGGTCGTATTGCAACTCTGACAAACATTTTTAGCAGTTCTAATAACTTGTTTGTCAGCAGAGCTGTGGGAAGACTTAAAACAACCAAACGGCAAACTTGCCAAATCTCGGGCAAGAAAATCAAATGACAAAACATTCTCTAGGTCAGTATAACGCTGCCCGACAGAAAATTGGCCTCAGCTAGGAAAAAAGTTGCAAACTGCTTGTTGCAAGGTCACATTAACGCATCTGTTCTGCATATACATTATCACCTTCCTCTGTCATAATCCTTCATACAATCCCCATTACTCTCAATTAAGAGTTTTCCTTGGAGTAATGTCAGGTCACATCAGTCATGTGACAATTGTAAGATGTCATCATGAAAAAACTGGGCAATCTCTATTCACTGAGGAAGACCATGAGATGCAGTCGAAAGCCAACAAATGATGTTTTATTTATGCTCGTGCTCAATGTTCTGAAAGATGACCCAATCTTTTTCCTTGTAGTGCAGCCAGTTTGTCCTGTGCCGTGTGGAGACTTGAGTTTTTTAATATTGGGGCTCAGGTCTTTAAAATTAAACAGAAAAGTACAACAAATTTTGGATGTCAAAGAAATTGTAATGGTGGAGATGCTGTAAAGATCATAACATACAAGAGAATAAATTTAAAGGTGCCATATGTTAGTTTTTGTTATTGCCACAAGCTAACATTATCATTGACGACTCCTTACTTACTCTACTTTAATTCCTTTACTGCAGCAGTAGAAAACAACACTAATGAAAACTTTTCCTCTAGTCCTCTCTCTTATTCACTTCTATTGAAATTAGCATGCAAACTAGCCCTGTCCCATCACTGCTGCTCTGAGGACGCAACTGACCTCTTATCTAAATAAACAACCTTCACAACCATGTGCTACCACCAAGACACTGTTTAGCAGCAAATAGTTTTAGGTTGTTGTTTGTGTGTGTGTGTCTGAGGACTGGCCGCCTGTAGAAGCATTAGTTCTATTCATACCCTTGATCATCATGTCACTGTGCTCATGTATTTTCTGTCCAACTGTTAAAAGCAGGAAGCCATCACACCAAACCTGTAGACCAATGGACATAAAGGGTGCACTGTGCTGCTGTAACCCTCATGGACACTCTGTCTGGGTCTAGTGTGCAACAAAGTTCTCTGCTCGCATAAGAACAGTAACCCCTGATGATGATGAATTCACACTGGACATGGAGCTGTTTGGTGGATCAGTGTCAAATAAATGTTAGAATGTTACATGACACACGAGCGACTCTGGGTGCACACTCTTTTATTTTGTTAGAGGTTCTCAACATGCGGATGAGAAGTCCCTGAGGTCTGCGCCAAAATAGATCTGAAGCAGGGTGATTAAAGAAATTTGAAAAAAAAGACAGAGCATTTGTGCGACACAAGATTCTGTTACTTTCCTTAACCTTTCCCTAACTTTTGTCAGTTTTTATTCCTTGTTTTTTGGAAAGCAGTGGGTTGTTTGTCCTTTTCTGTTCTCTAGATATGAATCTGACATGAAAGATCCCTCTTGGCCAGGGCCAAAAAATGACCAACTGTGTGAGAGATGACACATTTCAAGAAAGACACATTGACTGAGTGGTCAGTGGATCCCTGCTGTGAGATGACAGTTACTCTCTGCTGACAGCTTTCACTTCACACCACAGAATACTTTTAACAATAAATGATTCCTAGAGTATCCTCAGTATCAGATTCCTCAGTATCAGGAGCAGTTAATGGTGGTTTCAGAGGGTCTGCATGAGTGTTGGAATAAAATGGTATTGGCTGATGAGTTAAACTTGCAGTTTATCTTCTGTCTCCCTTTTCTGGCAGTATACCTACACAAACACTGTCGAAGGAACTTCCACAGTTCCAAGACAATAAGTAATTGTTGAGCAGAGAAAATGTATTAGTGAAGCATCAGATCTGTCCTATAGTTCTTCTCTCCAGTCAGTGCTCTGCTCTGCAGTGAGGAAGAGCCTCAGCAGCAGCAATCTCTTTGTTTCCCACTCTACATTTCTTCTTCATCTGCAGAGCCTCTGGTGTTTCTCCCATAGTTGCTGTGGCCTGCTCAGCTCTGGCACATCATTTCTGGTTGTTGTTAAAACACATGGCTGCTGGTGCACAGTCTGGGGATGTCACCACAGAAACCAGATTCAAACTGGTACACTGTGCTGACGAATGTAATCAGCATCCTTTAGATAAAAACAGTCCTACACTCTGAAACAAATACATACTGTCACAATCTACTCTCTCAATAAAACATTACATTCAAAAATACATAATTACATTTAGGAGGACACGTTGAATGGGTGGGGCGTGGGAGGAATACTGTGACCCTGTTCAAAACCAAATGAACCAGACAATTACCCCAAGGAGTCCAGGACTGTCCTGGTCTCTTTCTACAGCGCTCTGAGGAAGACGGCGGTGCATGTTCACTCATCCCTATGTATTACGTCTTCATCCCGTGAGGGTGTCAGGTTGTTAGAGCGCCACCTTGTGGTGACTTCGGCTTCTCCATATCAGACACAGGACCTGGTTGTGAATCCCGTAGTTTGTCACCAGGGAAGCGCGTCCCAGCAGCAGCAGCGGCAGCAGCAGCAGCAGCCCTGTTCCATCTGCGCACCGCTGCCTGCAGCACGGACACCGGGAGCGTCCGCTGCCTCTCCGCCGCTGAGGTGAGGCTGCACCCCCGTCCCCCCTCCTCTTCCTCCTCCGGTCCTCCTGGGAGCACAATGCGCTGATCTCTGTGGCAGGATGATTTCTGTTGTTTCCACGGTGGAGAGCGTCCCCAGAGGTACAGGCACCCCGGCGCCCAGCCTCTACCAGCGGATCAGGAAGGTCTTAACCAGGTAAGATGAGCATCCCTTCACAATTCGCTCCACGCTCAGTTAGCGTCACTGACTGCGGGCAGGGGGCGGGGAGGGGCTCGCTCCTCGTTTGCTCCATGCACAACCTGTAACATCAACCCGTCAAATCCGGTCACCCTCTGCAGGAGGTGTTGTGCAACAGATGTCCACAGCTGCAACCCGTTTGCATGAGCGTCACATCGCGTGCGTTGAGGTGTCTGTAGAGGCGTTGGAGTGGGGACATTCCTGCACCTTGTGGAGCCAGAGCAGAGCCTCAACCTGACTACCACGGTGGCTTTGTCTGCCTGCTCTGAGCCTGTGCTGCACAATGGCTGCTGTCCTGTCCCTGTCCCTGCTGCCTCATCCATCCCCATCCACCTGCCCCACTCTCACGGATGCATGTAAACTCCCTTTGCATTCTTCATGTGCTCAGCCACATTCTCCTGCACAAGACAACTCACACACATTCACTTAGTCTCTTTCCTGCCATCTGCTGTTCTGTGATCCCTGGCTTCTGTTACTCATCCTGGGGCTGTTGGACTGTCTGTCTGGCTGCAAGCTGAATTTGAGACCAGCATATGAGGCCCATGCCAGTGTGTGTGTGTGTGTGTGTGTTAGAGAGAGAGAGATAGTGAGAGGGTGTAGGTGGTGTTATCACTGCTGTCACAGACAGAGATGTGACTGAAATGAAACCTTTATTTTAGTGGTTAGTGGGCAGACAGACAAACAAAGCAGGCTCCAACAGGTTGCCTGATATTTATTCCCCCTTTTATTTGGATCTCTTCATCTGGTTCTTAAAAAGTAGTAACTAACATATGGTAGGTACAGAGGTATATGTCCCATTCTCATTAATGCAAATGTATCATCAGTCCAAATGTCCAATTTGTTGAATATGTGTCTTTGTCAGACACGAACAGGACAGTGAGAGGATGGGAGGAAACCACAAAGTCCAGTTACATGTAATCTAAGTTTTTAAATTACCATTCTATGGTAAAGAAAACAACAATTCATACAAATTAGATAATTACAAACCAGTGAAAACATCACAATGATTATTTTATATTCAATTTCTGCCAAAAGTCCCTTTCACCTAAATTTACACACTGGACCTTTAAATGGGCACTTAGCTGATTTTAAACCTGCTTTGCATTGTTACAATATTGATAGTATATGAAGATGTGCAATGTTTAATTTCCCACCATGTTGCCTCTATGGAGATACAGCTGCTGTTTGTGCGCCAAAAGTCAACCAAATGATGTTTTTTACATCATTGGTGGACTTTTGCCAGCTCCCTTGCTGTGTGCTAGAACAACAGCATGCACTGCCACATCTTGGAATCTGACGGCACACAAGATGGGGGGGGGTTAGAACCAGTTACAATAACAACTAGAAGACAATAATCCAAGGATATGGAAGGAAACATTGGAACTGTATTAAATGAGCCTGAATACACTGTGGAGGAATTTGGCATTTGGAGGAGTATGGGACTGCTGAGAGTGAAGCAGCACCAGGCTGTGAGGATAGAGATGCAGAGCTGCCTTGTGCTGGGGACACTTGGTGGAGCTCCTGTGGAATCTATGCACCAATGGAAACAAAAGAGGGGTCACTATGTTGTGAATTTCTATCTCCAGCATGTTTAACGTTACACAAAAGTTTCAGGCCTATATGAACAAAGGAGTACTGGAGACAGAGTTCAGGATCCTGAAAAGAAACAACCTAGTCAGTCGGAAAATCAAATGTCTGAGCAGTGTCTGTCTGAGAGTGAGCTCAACAGCAACTACACTTTGTTACTGACATGGCAATGTTCAAGACTAGTTTAGCACATACACTGCTTTTGTTTGTGTATTTGTTACCTAGTGGCACTATGAGAGTTTAGCCTAAAATTATGAGCTCCGGTTCTTTGCTGTAGTAGCTGCGCAAACCCACAAACAACAATGCCAACAGCTTCTGATAAATAGCTTCTAAATGGCTCCAGTGTGTTTGTGCTCAGATCAAACCTGTACTATTGTTTTTGAATCTGAAGTGAAGTGAACTCAGCTGCCGTTTCTGTTCTGTCCACCTCCATATTTTTAAGATTTTCCACAGACTAACTTCTTCTTACTCCTACAAGTGGTATATGGACCCTGGCTCTGCTGCTAGCATTTGTAAATATACTGGTTGCTCAGGTCAAGCATCAAATTGGAGCCTGGGTATTTTAGTATTTATAAGTTTTGGGGGGAAAGGGAATACCACGGTCCTTTTTCTCTGTTTTCTCCAGTCATGCTGCACCAATTCATTTTATTTAATCCACTTTACATAGATACACATATTTTATTCTAAGGCAATCCTCCCAGCAGTGAGTTAATGGAGCGAACCCTGCGAGCTAGTTCAGGCAGCCAACTCCAGCTGCGCTGCTCCAATCATGTGACACACATCATCTGACACACCTCATTCTCCACAATCATCTATGATACACACCCACCTTATTAGGCAGCCTATTTAAGCAGAGAGACATTTCCCATCAACCCCTTTGCTCGCACTGCTGCTGCTGTATCGCTACCAGTTGCTTCATGCAACATGACAGATACATATATATGAAGCTGGGTGATGCTGACGTGGTGCTGGCTAATATTGTTCTATTTCCTTGTGTTAATGATGTCAAACTGAAACACTGATGAGCTGTGCCCATGTCTCTTGTCCTCTGCAGAGACCTCCTGGTGACCCTGGCTCTGGGCCAGGTCTTGTCCTTGTTAATCTGCGCTATCAGTCTGATCAGCAAGTACCTGGCAGATGACTTCAATGCTAACACACCAGTGTTCCAGAGCTTTCTCAACTACATCCTGCTGTTTCTGGTCTACACCACGACACTGGCAGTCAGGCAAGGTACACACAGAAAATCCTTGGGGAAGTAATAGGAAAACTGACAAATGTGCAACCATCAATCACAATGTATAGCATGACTGAAAGTGTCTCGTGCAAACTGCAAGGTTAGTGTTATTGAAAACAACTGGCACATGAGGGTGGGCAAACAGGAGTTGTTGGGGTTGTACTGCTTCTATTCTTCCAAGTCCTCGGTCATCATGCTGAACTGGACTGGGTCATCTTCACTGCTCGCTGTCGCAGTTCACATTCCCTCTCTGGCTGTAAATGGTAAATGGTCTGTATTCATGAAGAGCTTTTCTAGTCTTGATGACCACTCAAAGCGCTTTCACAGTACAGGTTATTGCCATTCACACATTTACACACACATTCCGACAGTGCATCTATGAGGGGAAATTCAGGGTTCAGTATCTTGCTCAAAAACACTTCCTCATGCAGCCCCTCAGCCACAGTGTGCAGCTGATGACGCATCTGTGGGTGAAAATCATCACAGACTTCTTGACCCAAACTAGGAAGCAGTAAAGCATTTTTCCTACTTTTCAGGGATACAGAATGTTCTAAGAAGGCTGACAGTGTTACCGTTCTGTTCTGTTCTGCTGATGTAACATGTATAAAACACTATTTCCATTGTCTTTGCTGTGTGCCACACCAGGAGAAGGGAACCTGCTGGCCATTCTGAAGCAACGCTGGTGGAAATACATGATTCTGGGTTTGATAGACATCGAGGCCAACTATCTGGTCCTGAAGGCTTACCAGTACACTACACTCTCCAGCGTACAGGTTTGTAGTGTGTGTGTGTGTAACTTTCTTTGAAACTTTTAATAAATGAACTTTGTAACCCTGCAGTTCGCTCACATGCAAATGTCCTGGTCATGTTCAGCTCTGCTCAGGCTGTGGCATGTTGTCTTTTATGGCTGAAGTAGGAACTTTGTCTGAGAAAGTAATCCTGGTGATCTGCATTACAAACTGTGAACATACCAAAGAAAAAAGCAAGCTCCTGGGTTGCATTGTTGTAGGATCCTCTGTTTTTGAAGCATAACCAATACCAACAAGTGAAAGTCAAGATATCTTTGCTGAACAGCAAAATTAATAGTATTTTTACGATTGGACGGGTCACATTAAATTTTTTACAGACATTCAAGGTCCCGAATAATGAATCTAATGGCTCTATTTTAACCATCTGAGCTCGTCGTCCAAATCTACTTTTACGGGAGAGAAAAGGGTTGCTGCACCAGATGCATGCTTGATTGTGCCCGATGAATTAATCAGGGATGTGTTTTTGGCAGAGTCCCATCTCCCATTCCCTTCAAAACCCAGGCAAACTTCTACTTTAGCTGGTTCCTATTATAATGGGGGATTTTTAAAGTTGTAATAGAGAAAACTCTTCATTCTCTGATGGAAGTTTGAAGATGAGCACAGTTCATTTATCTTTTGGAAGTGGTCGCCAGTGTGCTCTATGAACCTGTCAGCACATTCATATTCACTGCAGCGATTTTACACACACCGGTCTCCAAAATGTCAAATTTGTTTTTCTCACACAACTTTTTTGTGAGAAGTGGCGTATGCATCTTTCAGACACAGTTTTGTGTGTTTGCAACAGTTATAAATGAGATCACCAGTCTGATGGTAAACCCAAGCAGGAGGAGAAAACAACAACAGAGCTGGAGATGACTGAAACATCGATCAAAGAGTTCATTATTTGTGTGTGTGTTTGTTTCCTCTCAGTTGTTAGACTGTTTTGTCATCCCGGTGGTCCTGCTGCTGTCCTGGTTTTTTCTCTTGGTGAGGTACAAGGCAGCCCACTTTGTTGGGGCAGGGCTGTGCCTGTTGGGTATCGGCTGCATGGTGGGAGCTGATATCCTACTTGGTCGGCAGCAAGGCCTTGGTGAGCACCACCTCCCCTATGCACACATACATAGTGAGAGTACACAGCACCATCAATTTACAATGAATTCTGTAAGCCCAGAGATACAGAGTTATAGCTTTGACTTTGACAGGCATAGCTTTCCTGACCTCAATGTGACATGAACAAAGTTGGGTGCAAGTACTTGTGGATGATGCCAATTTGTTAGGGATTTTATCACAGTAGTCCCTTTTACTTTTCATCTCTTACCCATTTCTCTCTTGTTCTCCCTCGTCTGTCCAGGAGAGCAGAAGCTATTTGGGGATCTTTTGGTTTTGGGAGGAGCTACACTGTATGGGATCTCCAACATCTGTGAGGAATTCATTGTGAAGAACCTGAGCCGTGTGGAGTTCCTCGGCATGATGGGACTCTTCGGATCCTTCTTTAGCGGCATCCAACTGTGAGTTTGTGTGAAATACTCAAGTAGTGTACTTAAAGGTACAGTGTGTAGAATTTAGTGATATCTAGTGTTGAAATTGCATGTTGCAGCTGAACACCCCCTCACCTCAACCTCTCCTTCCAAACATGAAAAAGAAACTATGGTAGCCTTTAATTGTCATAAAAACTCAAAAGGTGTTTAGTTTGTCCAGTCTGGACTAATGTAAAAAACATGGCGGCCTCCATAGAGAGGGTCCTCTCGATGTAAATATAAAGTATTTGAATACAAACGGCTTTTTTCTGGGGTAAAGAAAACTTTTTAAAAGCCTTAACTCCAGTGAGGACCTTTAAAGGTCCAGTGTGTTAGATTTAGGTGAAAGGGATCTATTGGCAGAAATTTAATGTAGAATAATCCTCATGATGTTTTCACTAGTTCGTTTCATCTAAATTGTATAATTGTAGTTTTCTTTACGTTTAATTCTACACACTGTACCTTTAATTAAAGCAGGTAGCAATCAATCAATCACATTTTATTAGCTACATCAATCAATCAAATGTATTTATATAGCACGGTATCACAACAAACAGTTGTCTCAGGGTGCTTCACAAAAGTCCAAGATCTTAATAAACACAAAATCCAACTTGTTCCACACCGAGCAAGCATGAGCAACAGCGGGAAGGAAAAACTCCCAAGTGGAAGAAACCTCCGGCAGCCAGGACGGGCTCTGGAGAGCCGCACAGTATGGACCAAGGAGGGGAGGAGAAGACCCAAGGAGTTAGAGATATGTAATAAGATATAACAAAATAAACCAGGCAGAGAGTGAAGAAGAGAGAAGAAGATAGAAGGTGCTGGTGCCTGATGGGTGATCCCCAGCAGTGTAGGCCTATAGCAGCATAGCTATGGATGACTATGGCTCAGGGTTGAGCTAAAAGCTTTATCAAAAAGGAAGGTTTTAAGTCTAGCCCTAAATGTAGAGACTGTGTCTGCCTCCCTCACTGAGAGTGGGAGCTGGTTCCAAAGGAGAGGAGCTTGGTGACTAAAAGTTCTACCACCCATTCTACTCTTAGTAACTCTAGGCACTACAAGGAGTCCAGAGTTTAGGGAGCAAAGTGGTCTGTGGGGGCAGTAAGGGGTTAAGAGCTCTTTAATATATGATGGGGCCTAATTTTTGAGGGCCTTATAAGTCAGAAGGAGGATTTTGAACTCTATCCTCTGTTTAACAGGGAGCCAGTGAAGTGAAGCTAGGACAGGAGTAATGTGATCCCGTCTTCTGGTTCCTGTCAGTACTCGTGCAGCAGCATTCTGCACTAGCTGAAGGGTTTTTAAGGATCTGCTGGGACATCCTGATAATAGGGAGTTGCAGTAGTCTAGCCTAGACGTAATAAAGGCATGAATCAGTTTTTCAGAATCCTGTTTTGACAGGATGTGTGTGATTCTCTTTATATAACGATGAAAGAAAGCTATTCATCATTAACACTAACAAAGTGGAATCTATTTGATAAATAAAACATAAACCAGCTTAATGCTGTCCCTCCAATCCCAACCTCTTGCTCTTATCTTTGAAGGTGAATTTTATCGTCAATGGTGTCGAATGCAGCACTGAGCCTGAAAGTGCCAGGCCTAAAAGGTGTTTTTCAGGTTCCTCTACCAACCATATTTCTATGATTTATTTATGTCATGTAATATATGGTTAGAGCAAACATGTTTTATCTAGAAATTGAAAGAAAATTATCGATTTATTGACTGATGTCATGAATGAAAAGTGCTGAATAAAACCCCAGGAGGAGTGCGGCTGTGTCAGAAAACTCTACTTATGGTCTACATGGGTTTTCTTTAGCCACATTTTCCTTTAGTAACCTGTGATTGACGAACCAGTTTAACATTTGAAATGAAATAAGTGATTATAACAGGCCCTGTAGCCCTGAGACAGAATGGTCTTGGGATTTTCTCAAATTCAAAAATGAAGAATTAGATTTGTGTAGCCAATAATTACAATACTTTGCCTCAAGGGAAACATAAGACAAATACACTGTCTTAGATTTGGACCAAATACTTCTAAATGTACCAACAAGCATGTGAAAATCAGTATATCATTGGGACGTTCCACTGTTGTTTCAAACAACAGTGACAAACAGCAAGTGTTAATGTCATGAAGGACTAGATTGGTGTCTTTCAAAAAGGGATTCAACAGAAAGAAAAAATCTATTTCTGTATTTCTTTTCTATAAGAGCAATGAAAATGTTTTGAGTCATTCTCTACAGTAATGTCACACATCCATGGTACTGGTAGGCAGGAGATTATATTGTCATGCTGTAAATCTGTTACTTTCTGACTGTTCTGACTCCTGACAGGCAATGCTAATGTATTGGAAGCAGGAATTGTTTTCATCCAATGTGTGTGCACAAAATAAATTAACAACGCATTGACAGAGTTTCACCAAACTTCATGGGAATATTACTTGGGAGGGTATCTGCAGATTAACTTTTTTGAGCTAAAAACATTTACCAAGGTATCTCTTCAAATCGAGAAGTCTGCAAAGTCTAAAGTCTACAATAGGCTCCTAGCTAGTTGGCCTCACACCATGAGGCTTGGTTCTACCCTGCAGGCTGGTAAGTGCCTCTCAGCATTGTAGCTGATCAGACCCACCACCATGGTTTTGGCAGCTTACTTTACCAGACTGGGCTCCAGTGCTGCCGGTAATTTAGAAAGTTGTTTCCTGCTCTCTCTACCTGAGGTCATCCTGTCAGAAAGTTTTAAATCCAGTTGGAGATGGAGATTCAGCTCCAGGTCCCTCAGGGAACAATGCTGTTCTCTAATCTCTGTCTATGTATCCGCTTGCAGGGCAATCATGGAACACAAGGAACTGCTGAAGGTATCCTGGGACTGGCAGATAGGTGAAAATAGAAACACACACTCACACAAACGGATACCTTCACATCATCTATAAGCAATACAGAAGTAGTTTAAAAAAGCAGTGTAAATGCAATGCAAAATCATCTGCTCTCTCTGTGTGTTGGCAGGTCTTCTCTATGTTGGTTTCAGTGCCTTCATGTTTGGCCTGTACAGCTTCATGCCCGTGGTGTTAAAGAGGACGAGTGCCACCTCAGTCAATCTCTCTCTGCTCACAGCTGACCTATACAGCCTCTTTTGTGGTGTCTTCCTCTTTCACTATAAGGTACTGTCAAAGAGCCACACCACATTGGTGATGATTTGATGATGTATAAGTTAAAAGATGTGCCACACACCTGGACCAGCACAACACACTTACCGAACTGTGAGTCCTGATGTAGGCACCTGCAGAATAAAAGATCCGTGGAGGACCTATGTCCACCAAGATGAGTGTGTGAGGAATATTTGCCTTTGACTGCATCTGTGACAGACAAACCTGATCCTTGTTATCTATGAACAGGAAAACAACTCCGTAACGCTGAAGCATCATAAGCTCAACAACTGTTGCCAAATCTGTGTCAAGTATTTTGATAATAAATACACTTTGAGAACCAAACCCAAATTACTTCTAACCATTATCATTTGAATTCAAATTTTGATTAGTTCTGTTTTAGGCTGTTTTATTTAACTTCAGTAAACCTATAACCATCCCTTTAACCAGGACCATTATTCCAAATTATTCCACACCTGAGGATCAAACTTAACCCTATATGAATGCCACACACCCACACACTCTTCCTCCGTCTGTCATCCTGGTCAGTAAGAGCTTGTACCAGTTTGCACGTGTGTTTTGCACTCATGGTTTTGGTTACCTGTTGTCAGGCTACCTTTCATTGGTCACCCCCTTGAGATGCCATGAGTTTGTCTGTTTTGTTTGCAGGTGACGATTGTGTTTTTTACATGCAGTACTGAATTGAATTGGAAGAAGGCCATTGAGAAGTGAGAGAGAGCTGAGCAGGACTAGATCTGTGATTTAAAGGTTCAGTGTGTAGAATTAAGTGACATCTAGAGGTGAAGCTGAATCTCACCCTCCCCTTCCAAACATGATAGAGAACCTCTGGTGAACTTCAGTTGTCATGAAAACTTAAAAGGTTTTATTTTGTCCAGTTTGGACGACAGTGAAAAACATAGCAGCCTCCTCAGAGAGGACGCCCCCTCCATGTAAATATAAAGTTTTTAAATATAAAGGTCTCATTCTATGGTTAAAAAAAAACAGCAATTCATACAATTTAGATGAAACACACCAGTGAAAACATCACTAGGATAATTTCAATTTCTGCCAAAAATCCCTTTCACCTAAATCTTACACACTGAACCTTTAGAAGTAGACCTCCTGCAAAGACAGTTGGAGGTGTTGTGCCAGGCTACTCCATATACGCCTTCACATCCTGTTGCTGTGTCCCTGACAATGCTACTTTTTGCTCCTCTGGGCAGGTTGATATTTATGATGAGGTAGATGAGTTTTTTGCTGACTCCCATGTGAGCTTGGGCCCAACACTAATGCACTTCTCCTGGTGTCAGCCCAGCTGACCTCCTGCCGAAGATGGTGAAAATCGTGATCCAGCTAGCTGTCCGCTCAGGGTTTATGGCGATTACAAGCTCTTGGAGACTCCAACCTCTTGGTGTAGTGTTTGGACCTACAGTGAAGGCTGCATTGGAGGAGACCCAGATGGTCAGACTGTGAAGATAGTCATTCTGTCAGCCTAAGCAATCAAGAGTCGTGGCTTGGGACCCACTGCAGGGGCGTGGTAGTTGTCCAGCTAACTCGTTTTGTAGAACCAGAGTTCCTCCCGAGTTCATAGTTTGTGCTTTTCCTCTCTCTCTACGGGTATCTCTGACTCCACAGCTGCTGGATCCAGTTCTGACATAACTAAACTAATATTATTATTGTTATTAGTAGTAGTAGTATTAACTAGTGTTGCTATCAATTCTTGCTTGGTGTGGGAATATCTCAACCTTTTTATTTAAAGTGCCTTAAAATAATTTATATTTTGGTATGAAAATGAAATTGGCCTCTGCCTGCTAAAGAACAACAGAGGTTTTATTGCGGCTACTTCCTCGTCCCCAAGTAGAGCAGGGACCTGGAGTTGAGACAGATAAATTCATGTATATATCTCAAGTTGCCTTCCTTTTGTATGCTCAGATTGGGGCATTGTTTCAGGCTGTAAGGACAGGCGATTGGTTGAGGACAGTGGACCTTTGATATGGCTACTTACACATTCCCATCAGTCCAGATAACAGGGGGTTCCTCAGATAGTTCCCACTGAAGGCAAGTGGTGACTTTGCACCCACTGGTGTGATTAATATGGTATAACACTCCTGACCCAAGGGTTACATGGTTAGAGGTTTACTTTAATCTTTGATTTCTATATATGTATATACAGACTTTTTTTTTAAACTGGTTTTCAATAGCTGGTTTAGTTTCAAAGGCCGTTGCAAGATAGAATACGCACCTAGCAGAGACTGTTATTGTTTGAAGCAGAAAGATGATGAAAAGTTTGAAACCACCTTGTCATCAATACACATATTGAAGAAGAGTTGGCCTGTAATAGCTCAATGACCATTGATCTATATCTACAAGATATACCAGTGTAAAGCAGCATACTTTCTGTCTCTGTGTTGCAGTTCTCTGGCCTCTACTTGTTGTCATTTTTCGTCATTATCTTGGGCCTGGTCCTTTACGCCTCCTCATCTACCTATGTGGTCCAGGATCCACGAGTCTACAAGCAGTTCAGGAACACAGGCAGCCAGCCAGCCAACGACCCACCACCATTTAGGCCTGCAGTCCCAGAACCTTCTGTCACCTACACCAGCCTGGGCCCCGAGCTGGGGGAAGAGCTTCCTGTACGTGTAGCCTAAATTGATCTGAGAGATCTGGAAGTGTTTAATCTGTCAGCATGGTGGATCAGTGCGTCAGCTGCAGGGTCTAGGTTATTTACAGAGGAATAGTGCTGGCTGTACCCAGAATGCTGAGAAGGGTAGCAGCACAATCACCCAGGTAGATCCAGGTTTTCATTTTTTTGGCCTTTACTGAGCGATGTAGTCTCCATCTACTCAGTTATGACAAATTTATGTACCCAAATATGTACCTGATACACAAATGACCAGAATGTAATTAATCAAAAAGCAAAGAAAGTGAATATGTTGAGTTCACTGTGATCAAAGACTGAGTAGAAAGTAGTGACTGTAAATAGATGGTATTGTAATTGAAATGATTCTCTTCCTTTCTTTTTATATCTGTCAAGAATGTTTTTGTGTATTACCTGTGTATATGCTGAAACTGTTTTCATCATATTGAAGTCTACAGTGTTTCTGAATCCACCTGCTCCAATTCAGTGACAGCTTTAGTCTTTTCTGTCTGTTTAACACACTGGGGTCACTAGTGTACATAGTAGTGGCAGACAGCTCCTCGTGGTTCATCAAACAACTTTGTCACCAAGGTACTACGTTTTGCTGTGTATTTTAAACATGGTGGATATATTGTAGGCTGGTATAAATATATATGCAGATATCATATATTTAAGTTTGAATACAACAAAAAAGCTTTCCATATTTACCCTCCAGAAGGTCATTCTGATAGTGTGAAGAAGGCTTTAAATCAGTGTTTCATCCTGAGAAGTACAATTTACAGAAAATGATGAAAACAACTGATGAAAAAATCGCAAACATCATTCATAACCACTGTCAGCGGCTAAGATGCGCTGGCTGCATCATGTAGTTTTTGGAGGGCGTTGTTGTATCTTGGGCCATGTTAAATCTAAATATGGATAAGAGCTTTGACAGGCTATTAGAAGTGATGGGGGACAGAATCCATGGCCCCCCTCCTCTCTCTGTGTATATTGCAAAGTTTATCTGACATGATTATGAGGATTCAGCAGTCTGAGTCAGTGAAACCACCTGGGTATCTTCCAAAGTGTGTCTGCAGTGTCTGAGCTGCAGTGAGGGGAAGTGAGGAAATTTCACAATAAAAATTCAGTAATAAGAAAAAATCCACTTAATTTAGCTCCAGTGTCATATTGGCCTCAGATAAACTTTGGATTGTTCGCACTTGATCGAAAATATCCTGTACATCAGAAGCACATAAAGGAAAGATCTCTTAATAGCCAGTTTGAACAGATAAGAACAAAAACCTATCCTTTCATTTGGAGTGAGCTGTAGATGTGTGGTACTAAAAGGCCAAAGCCTGCATTTACATAGAGTAAAAGAGTTGAAGAATCGACTGCTTCTCACATTTTATTGTTACGTATCGTTTAGTATATTGTTTGATGTATTATGTCCTTTTGAAGTCAGAGAGATCCTAGTTGGATTTTGGGTGGGGAGCTCACCATTATTGGCTATTGGGTTATTGTAATTTTTGCATATTTTTGTCTGTATGTGTATGTTTAGTTTTTTCTATGTAAAACTAATTTTAAAAAAGTTGATTGCAAAAGCAAATAAACTGAAAAAAAGCAGATTGGTTTTTTATTTGTAAGAGAAAGATTTACTTGTCTTCCTTCCTTCAAAGCTGAATTCACTAGATTTTGGCCACTAGGGGGGAGGTTGTTCCTGCTGACTTACACTTTCGTGAGGTGTGAATTATTATTGTTCCAGTAATAACAAGCACACTTGAAATTGAAATTGGTTAAATACTAAATGATAGTTGTTTCCTCTATACAGTGACCTCAAACACACTCAGAATGGTCCTTGCTTGTTCTTAGATATCTCTGCTTTTACATTACATTACACATCATTTAGCTGACACTTTTATCCAAAGCAACTTACAATAAGTACATCAACCATGAGGGAACAAACCCAGAACAGCAATAATCATGTAAGTAAGCTTCAAAAAAGCCAAACTACAAAGTGCTTTATGTAAGTGCAATATATAAGTGGAACTAAGTTTTATATATATATATATATTTTTTTTTTTATATATATATATATGTAAAGACAGATTTGACAATGGTTGTTAGACATCATCTTGTGTAAATGGAAGAGATGTGTCTTTAGTCTGCGGTGGAAGATGTGTGGACTTTTTGCTGTCAATGGGGAGCTCGTTCCACCATTTAGGAGCCAGGACAGCAAACACTAAAGATTTTGTTGAGTGACTAGCTCGCAGTGAGGGAGCAGCAAGCTGATTGGCAGATGCAGAGTGGAGTGGACGGGCTGGGGTGTAAGGTTTGACCATGTCCTGGATGTAGACTGGGTGCCAGTATTCCTTGTGGTCTAGGTGGGGGCTACCAAGGAGTTGTCAATGGTGATAGTCAGGTCATGGGTGGGAGAGCCTTTCCCTGCAAAAAAAAGTAGCTTGGTCTTAACAAGATTGATTTTCAGGTGGTGTGCAGACATCCACTGAGAGATGTCAGTCAGACAGGCAGAGATTTGTGCAGCTACCTATGTTTCAGACTGGAGAAAAGAGAGAATTAGTTGGGTGTGATCTGCATGGCTGTGGTAGGAAAAGCCATGTGAGTGAATGACAGAGCTGAGAGAAGGAAGAGGACAGTGGAGAGAGAGGCTGCTCGAGTGTGAAAATGTTCGTAGACAGTCTCAGTTGAATGGCCTGCCTTGAAACCAGACTGAGGGTCAACTAGGTTGTCCTGGTGAAGATAGGAAGAGAGTTGATCAAAGATAGCACACACAGGAGGCAAGAGTGAACCCTTGAAGAGAGGATTCTCTCTTGCCTCCTTAAGAGAGGTAGAGGGAAACAGCCAGTTAACATGGAAGGGTTTATAAGATGGGTGAGAAAAGGAAGAAGGTCGGGAGCAATAGACTGGAAAATGTGAGAAGGAATGGGGTCAAGGGGGCAGGTGGTTGTGCGGGTGGAAGTTACCAGGGTAATACTTGATTTGGGCGACAGGGGGGTTAGAGAGGTGAGAGAAGGGGCTGAAGATGTAGATGAAGTTGATGGAGTGGCCATTTCAGAAGTGATAATTACACCATTATACCACACTATGTATTATCTCTGCTTATGCATACCATTTCTGCTTGTGTAACTGCCAAGAGGACATCAGAGCCATAAAACTGAGACTGTGCTCGTTTCCCCCCACCAACACCTCGAAGAGGCCTTCAGCCTGTGTCTTATCTCCTCGTGTTTCACCTCTTACTCGGTTCACACACGCACACACACACGCACACACACACACACACATATTTCACCTCTTCACACACACACATTGCACCTCTTCACTAAATTTGCATAAAAGCACACACCTCGAAATGTTTCTTTGGCATTCCCTCTGCAGAATGCTCTTTGCATGCTGTATGATTGTCTGACCTTCCTTGCAAGGAATAAAGTACAATTAAAACATTATTATTCTCGGATCTCTTAATTTCAGAAGTCTCAACAGGTCAAATTTCCACCACAGAAGGTAGGTTGGAGAATGAGGAGATTTTTTCATATAGTAGTAGTTGACAATAGTTGACGAAAGGGGTTGGTCAAAGGGTGGAAGGAGGAGGGGGAATGGGGGTGTCAAGGAGGTTGGAAAAGATTTTTGGGGGGTTGGAAAATGAGGATTGTATTTTGTTTGATAGAAAGAGCTTTTGGATGCAGAAATAGAGTCAGAGAAGGTGGTGAGAAGTGATTGATAAGTGAGCAGGTCACCAGGGTGTTCTGATATTTGGTTTAGTTTAGCTTTAGTTTAAGTTGCTAATTCTCAGTGCAAGCAGGTGATGTGTGATGACTGATGACAGCCAATGAGAGACGCTGTAAATGGCGCGTGAACTGTGTGTGTGAAGTGATCAGTAGTTTTCCAGTCACTAGCAAGTCACTAGCAAGACTGATGTCTAGTTTATTCCTCCTGCATTATTTGTCCTGGTCTAGCATTGGGTGTGCACAAAGAACTATAGCGCAATTTAACTTTGCAGAGAGATTCAAGAGAGGAGGACAGAGTAGAGAGGAGAATGTCTGAGGCAGAGTTAAGATGAGTGAGATGAGTCAGATGAAGGGAGGGCTGATGAAACAGATGAGGTCAGAGAGGAGGGAGAGAGAGAACAAATGTTGTGACGAACAGGTACAGAGCAGGGTTATTATAGTTAACGAAAACTAAGACTAAAACTAAAACTAGCAATGAAAAAATAATTTAGTTAACTGAAATAAAAATAAAAACGACAGTTACAAAAAAAAAAACCTAAATAAAAACTACAATGAACAATGCAAAACTAACTAAAACTAAACTGAATTGCAGATAAATTCAGCTTCGTTTTCGTTTCTTTTCTCCCTCGATTACAGCCTGTCCTGCAGGTGATGGTTAAAGAATGAAATTAAATGACTTGATAAACCATATTTCAGAGAGGGAGCGAGTAAGACATGAAGAAGTGGTCAGAGAAGTGAAGTGGGGTCACGCTGAGGTTGGAGGTAGAGCAGTTTCTGGTGAAAATAACTATCCCTCTGAAGATTAAAAGATTTAATGCACAGAAGCAGGCATAAAACCAGGAACTTTTGTTGGGGCCAATGAAATTCCAATTCAAATGGTACAGAATAAAGTTGACCGATTGGGTGGGCTGAGTAGAAATTTGGGTGTGCATCACCCACCCCTGCCCACCTCTAGATCCGGGCTTGTTAATCATCACAAACGCAAGAAGCTCATCATTGTGATCGTCCTAATGTTCAGTCTCAGTGCTGCAGAACAGCCTCTCTCTCTCTTCAATGAGACATTTGCATCACAACAGCCCTGCTCCGACCTGCTTTTAACGCTTGTCTCTGGGTCATCCAGCAGGGGGAGCTCTCACGACGTACCTAAAACAAATTGAGTGTGTATGAAACACTATGAGGGTTTTACAGTAGTTTGATACGCTGCCTTTTTTTTTTGCAGAGGTGACATTCAACTGACCGGTACAGTACATTTTCCTATGTTACAGAGATAGATAGATAGATAGATAGATAGATAGATAGATAGATAGATAGATAGATAGATAGATAGATAGACATATTTTATTCATCCCGAGAGGAAATTCTTGTGTTCCAGCAGTACAGACATGTGCAATAAGTACAANAGAAGGGCGTACATGTAGGACGGTGACTGAGTTGTTCAGAAAGAGCTAAATTGAGGCAAAGTTAAAAGTTAAAACAGAGGAGACTGGTTGAATATTTCAGTGATCAAGAAGCATAAGAACGTAAAAACATAAAACAGTGCAAGAGTAGAAGTGGTACAGCGATAAAGTGATAAAACAGTGCAAGTAGTAAGTGATACAGTGATGTGCAAAAGAGACTAGCTACTGTATACAGTCTGCAAGAATAACATCTACTGATACTGAATACCAGTCATTAGAATAGCAGTGAATAAATTAAATTTACAATGCAGATGGAATAGGAGACTAATGTAGTTGAGTTAAACAGTCAGTTTTTACAATTGTTACAGGGAGTTATTATAAAACCTGATGGCGGATGGCAGGAATGACTTCCTGAATCTGTTCTTGTGAGTTGTCTGAGTCTTTGTGAGAATGTGCTCCTCTGTGAATCCAAACAATAAAGATCCAAATGTGCTGATGACCTGATATTAGAAAATGATCGTACCATTAAAATAAATAGCAACTTCATAAAAATCTATCTGTATTTTTTGTCAGTCTTTTTTTATTACATGTAGTAGTCCAAAGTCTACTCTATCTTAATTTATTGAATACAGCATGTTGTATTATATTGTAATGTTGCATGGCCTCTTTGTCTGATGCCTGGTAGATGGTGACTGCTGTGTTTTGTGCAGGTAAGGGAGACTTAGAGAAAAAGATGGGTTTTATTTTTCTGCTGGAAATCTAATAAGGTTTCTTCTTCATTCAGTTGTTGTGTGGCTTCCCCACCCAGATTGAAGTATTCTCTGCAGCCCCATTTTTCTATGATGGTGACGTTACTAGAGTTACTCTGTTAAGGGACAATTCCTTTCCATCAGACTGTGCCCTGATGTTTAGTGATGAGATGTGTTAGTAAAAAGTTCCACTAAACTGCAGCTGCACAATGCAAACCAAAGCTCATCCATAGACTACCCCCACAGAGAGGGTAGTCTATGGATAATTCTGTTCTCTTCTGTTAAAAATCATCAGTAATAATAAATTAAGTCCTCAGGAGAAGATTCAAGGTTCGCCTTTCCCCTGTTTGAGCCACAGTTCAGAGTCAGCCAGCCATTGCCGCTTTAAAGTAGGGCCCCATACTGAGCAAGGTAACTTTTTCAATGAAAAGGGTTATCCCCTTTACATGCAACTTCGCCACTAGATGTCTCTTAATTCTACCCACTTAACCTTTAATCAGTTTGTTTTTGAATAGAAATGTTGCCCGTTTAAGATGGCAATCAGATCTGCAGGTGTTGTTTTTTTAGCACAAGAGGTTAACTTTTGGGGTAAAAATCGAATACATTTGTTTTTGTTTTTTTTGGAAAATGGTGCTTGTATCCTGTTATGCCTGGATTTATATGCTTATCTTGCCC